GTGTCGGTATATCGAAGTGCTGAAGTGTTTGTACAGTAGGGCTACGATGGCTATCCGAGTACAGAAGCAGAACTCGAAACCTATCCAACTGCAGAGAGGTGTAAGACAGGGTGACGTTATATCCCCGAAACTCTTCACCGCTGCATTGGAAGACGTTTTCAAGCTACTGGACTGGAAAGGATACGGTATTAACATCAATGGCGAGTACATCACTCACCTTCGATTTGCCAACGATATAGTCCTTATGGCAGAATCGCTGGAGGACTTAAGCACTATGCTCAATGATCTCAATAGTGTCTCCCAACGGATAGGTCTTAAGATGAACATGGACAAAACAAAGATCATGTTTAATGTCCATGTCACACCTATGCCGGTAGTTGTTGGGAGCACTATGCTCGAAGTTGTCAACGAGTACGTCTACCTGGGAGAAATAGTCCGACTAGGTAAGTCCAACTTCGACCGAGAGGTCAATCGACGGATTCTACTCGGCTGGGCAGCGTTCGGGAAATTACGACATATCTTCTCGTCAGGTATACCTCAATCTCTAAAAACTAGATTGTGCAACCAGTGCGTGTTGCCAGTGATGACTTATGGATCTGAGACGTGGTCCTTCACTGCTTGCCGTATGAGGACGTTCAAGGTCGCTCAGCGAGCTATGGAGGGGGCTATGCTCGGAGTTTCTCTGCGTGATAGACTCAGAAATGAGGTTATCCGCAGTAAAACCAGAGTGACCGACATAGCCAAACGGATTAGTAAGCTGAACTGGCAATGGGCCGGCCATATAGCTCGAAGAACCGATAACCGATGGGGAAGAAAGGTTCTCGAGTGGCAGCCTCGTACCGGTAGGCGTAGTGTAGGGCGACCTCCCACTAGATAGAGTGACGACCTGGTAAGACATGCAGTAAGTCGATGGATACAGGTGGCTCAGGACCGTGCTTTGTGGCATTAGTTGGGAGGAGGCCTATGTTCAGCAGTGGACTTGTGTACAGTGTGCTGTAGTGATGATGTGATTGCAAAATGGGTGGTGTACTTTATTTTGTTTGTTTTGAAGTAGAGATTATAAGTTTTTTGTGCATATTATTTTAAGTAATATAATGCATAATTATGTTATTAAAAATTAATGATTGGTAATTTTTATTTTATGATTAGATACATCATATTTTGTTAATATAAGTTAATATTGACTGGTAGAGAATGCGTTTAGGCATTAAGTTCAACAATTGTATCTTTTTTTTCTAATGGAATGTAATAAAAAATTTCAAATTTAAAAATATAATAAATTACTGACTGTATTTAAAGCGATAAGTTTGTTGAATTTACACACCAATGAATAATAAAAAAACATGTGTGCAGTTCCCACGCGATAGAAGTAAAACATTTAGTAAATTGCGAGAAAAATTGCTTTGTAATGGGGTAAGATCTACTTCATTTAATAGGTAAAGTCAAGCCATTTATCGAACAAAAATTGATTGGTTCAGGGTGGTACGTCAAATACTACTAATTTAATATAAATCGGTAGGTTATAAAATCGTGAATTGTTATGAATGAATTGATTAAGATAATTTTATTCAATATTGTTAATCTTATTTATTTAATAAATTAGTAAATTTTTTATTTTAACAATTAAAAGTTATATTAATCATCCATCCATGCGGTGCTTTACCACACAAAGCGAAGACCAAGACAAAAGGAAACTATATAAGGTATTCTATCTCATTTTCTCGCAGGTTAAATCCTATAGATATATTTATATATTAGTTTCTTATAAGTGCCGGTTTCTCGTTGAATCGAGTATCAAATCACAACGATTATAAAAAGTTTTCACTTCAATAAAATATAAAATAAAATCGAATCGTAATCGATAATAACGATAATCGATTCTACGTAACAGTTTTTATTTAATCTAAAATATTTAATCTGTGATAATTGTAACCACGCATTATGCGTGTTCGCATCTCTAGTTTTAGCTATTACCCAACCTCTCACATGGTACACATGGTAACAAGAGGTGTTACCATTTTCTTCCTAAGAACTATATCTGCGCAGCCTCGTGCGACTAATTTCAGCCCGGACAAGTTAGATTGCGCGAGGTATACTTTAACTTACTTTGCGGATCTTGCATGAAAAATAAAATAGGTGCCACATTTAATTCGTAAGAGTATGTAGCAGGAAGTAGAGAAGAAAGACGTCTAAACGGGACTCATTTAGACGTGTAAGGCGAAAGATATATCGTATTACTGTCGATGATGTCTTTCCTAGTGCAGTGGCGTTGCGGGTAGCTTTAGTAGAATTATGTAATGACGATAGAAGCATGATAGATTTCATAATTGTGGATGAAAGATTGAGGGGCGCAGTGGTAGATACAAGGGTTTACCGGGGTTCTAACGTAGGAACGGATCATTATTTGGTTTTATGCCGAATTAATGGTCTATTCAGGCGTTGGCGCCATCGATCATCTGTGTCTACCACTGCGTTACAGCGTATTAGAACAGAAAGGTTACAAGATGAAGGTGAGAGAAACAAGTTCAAATGTAGACTGAAAGAAAATATAAGTGGTTTGGATGAATTATGTATGAAGAAGTTAGACTTGGAGAATGTATGGCAAAATGTAAAGAAAGGTTTAGTGGATGCAGCTACCGAAGTATGTGGTGTTAGTAAGAGAAAGAATGAAAGGAAAAATAATACGTTATGGTGGGATGATGAGATACGTATGGAAGTTGAAGCAAAGAAGAGAGCATGGCTAGATTTACTAGCAACAAAGGCTGGTAATTCTAGCGGTACGAATGATGATATTGAAAGAAAAAAGGCAGTCTTTAAACATCTTAATAAGAGAGTAAAAGAAGTAGTTGAAAGAAAAAAGCAAGAAAGAACGGATAAGAATGATAGAAGAATATCGGATAACTTTCAGGCAAATATTAAAATGTTCTGGAAACTTGTAAGAACTGCCAGGGGACATTCAAAACAGCCTATGATGAATGTTATAAGAGACGAGAATGGCTATATTCTGAAAGATGAAGTTTTGAGTTTAAAGAGATGAAAGGATTATTTTGAAAGCGTGTTTATGAGTGAGGAGACAACGTGTGTACTAAGTGAAGTAGAAACTGCGAAAGAAGAGGAAAGAGGTAGCGAGATAAGTATAGATGAAATAATGAAAGCAATGAAAAGCATGAAAGCAGGTAAGGCTGCCGGATATGATAGAGTTTCACTCGAAATGCTAAGGGCTGGAGAGGAAGTGGTGGCAGGCCTGCTGCACATCTTGTTTAATTTATGCTGGGAACTGAAGCGGGTACCGGTAGACTGGTGCAAAGCCGTGATAGTCCCAGTATATAAAGGAAAAGGGTCCCAGCAGGACTGTAAAAACTACCGTGGCATCAGCCTTTTTAGCATTGTGGGAAAACTGTATGCTAAGGTACTGATTGAAAGGGTCATGAAAGAAACTGATGAAAAAATTTGGCATGTGCAAGCAGGATTCAGTAAGGGAATGGGATGTACAGATCAAGTCTTTTCCAAGCGCATGATCGCGGAGAAGTTTTTGGCCAAAAAACCAAAAGGTTTTTGTACGTTCATGGACTTGGAAAAGGCCTATGACAAAGTGGATAGGGATGTGCTATGGCAAACACTGAACTCATTTGGGTTGAGCGCTGGCTTGATACAGGCATTGGAGTCTCTTTATAGGGACTCTAGTGCTTGTGTTAGGATCAACGGGGTCTACTCGTACTGGTTTGACATCCATAAAGGTGTCAGACAGGGCTGTGTGGCTTCCCCGTGGCTGTTCAACCTATTTATGGACAGTTGATTGCAAAATTTGAAAGTTGAAGAATGCGGATTAAGAATGGGTGAGTTAACCGTCAAATGCCTTTTGTACGCCGATGATCAAGTTATCCTTGCATCGTCGGCGGCCGAGTTGCACATGATGGTTTCATTAATGAACAGATCATTAAAAGAAAGGGGTATGAAAGTGAACGCAAGTAAGACGAAGGTTATGGTTTTTGAAAGAGAAGAAAGTGAAACGATTTGTGAAATAAGAATAGAAGGTGAGTTGATCGAGCAAGTAGATGAGTTTGTATATTTGGGCTGCGTATTTAGCAGGGATGGGAGATATGATAAGGATATAGAACGACGAGTGAATGCGGGAAATAGAGTAAATGGGGCCCTACACTCTATTGTGAAGAGTCAAAATGTGTCAAAAAAGGCACGTATGGCAATTCACAATGCTGTGTTGGTCCCTACTTTAACGTATGGTAGTGAAAGTTGGGTGTGGCAGAAGAAGAAGCACGAGAGTAGAATCAACGCAGTAGAAATGCGGTCCTTAAGGAGTATGTTAGGGCTGAATCTGACCGACAGGGTAAGAAATTGTGTAATAAGAGAAGAGTGTGATTTGCAAGATGATGTTGTGACCAGGATTAAGAAAGGAATGCTTCGGTGGTTTGGTCATGTGGAAAGAATGAATGAGGAAAGAGTGACAAAGAAAATTTATGTTGCAGAAGTGAATGGCAGAGTCGGAAAGGGACGTCCTAGGCGAAAATTTATCGACCAAATTGGCGATTTACTGAAAACGGGCCAAATTAGGAGTACCCTTAACCGACGAGCATGTATGCGTAGGTGTATGGATGTGAAGGAGGCGAGAGGGGTGTGTCAGGATCGTGCCAAATGGAAGTCTGTAGTCTCTGCCAACCCCTCTGGGTGACAGGCGTGAGTGTTTATGTATGTATGTAATGACGGTGATAAAATACGATGTAAAGGGAAGGGAAGGATGTGCTGTTCAAAACTAGGTAACATCTTTAATGTACTTTTTGGTTAAAGGCCTTATCAAACCAATGCCGCAAAAAATTATCAGTTATTAATTACGAAGGTTACAAATTCATTATCATCACTACAGCCCTTCACAAGTCCACTGCTAGACATAGGCCTGGCCCAAGGAATGCCACAAAGCACGGTCCTGATTTCCTGTCGTCACTCCATCCAGTGGGGTGTCGCCCTACACTTCGCCTACAAATTACCTGACATTTTTTAAAGCGGTTCGCAACTCTTCCTTTACAGCCTCATGTTCTTGACAAATCTTATTATACTTCTCCTCTGTGCTCCGAAAATCGTCTTGTAGCTTCTTTAATTGTTCTGTCTTCCGCTCGTTTTCCATCGAGTACTGATGTTTTAGCTCTTCTAGTAACCTGCAGTTCATTCAATCAATAAATCAAACTAATCTCTTTCTCACAGTGACAGGATAAGTTGACTATGGGAACAATTAACGAATTTTTTTTATTTAAATTTAAAGAGAAAATTTATATGTTACATAACTAAAGCACTGCAGCCCTAGTATAAATACAGAATAAATAATAGCACTACGTACAGAAGTTGCACTCCTTTGACGTTGACTGCTTGTCGACGTTTAATAGCATACATAATTATTATTAATTAAATAAATCGCGCACGCAAGATAAACAAAACTTTAGCGCTGAGCGCGAGTGTCCATATTACTTTGCATCTTTTCCCCTTCCTAAGTCACAGCGGACTTTCCGTGGTTACTAAGGGATGTCAATAAAGAGTAAAAAATACATTGCGAAATGTTAATTAAGTTACTTAGGTGAAATACCAACCTATTCTACGATCGACTGACCACATTTTCTCACCTATGTGAGTTCTGCGATGCCCAAAGCATGCAAGTAAGCAAACTTGCAAGGCCATTCGTCGGGAATGGCGATGCTTGGCTTGAAAGAAACAACAAATAAACCTCAAATACGATTCCTAACAGAAATTTGATCGTATTCTACTTAGTTAAAAATCTTGTTAGTAAACAAAATGTGTTGTTATAACTTAAAATATTTTAATTCCAAATGACAAGTATAGGTATGTAAGTAGATACTTGGATAGTAAAGTAAATTTCAACCAAGTTTTGTAATAAAGTACGTAGGTATTACTTCTGTAAATAAATTATTACTTAATTATTTTTTGCTATATGTAGGTACCTAAAAATGAAATAAATTCACTTTTCATAACTTTGTACTAAACTCCTTCGGTAACTTACAGTTCGTTCTTAGTATAACTTACGCAAGTTATACTAGGAACGACTTTTTGCCATTACAATTGTACAAATAGGTAATATACTTAATATATATAATTTTTAAATTAAATTAAAACTTTTTAACTATTTTATCCTACAATTAAATATACTAAACACTAAACAAAAACTATTTCAACAAATATTTACAAAAAAACTATTTACGTAAACAGCGTTAAAAACATAAATATGCAATCGCCTACAACGCTAGCCTCGGCTGCGTATGTTACCCTGGGTGCCTCGCGATTGTAGGTAACTATTTCACGCAGGTAGCAATAGTGACGGAGGGCTAGTATAAGTAACACTAGCCGTGTATCAGGTATGAATTCTTTCTCAGTATTTTGAAGTTGTCTGTCTTAATATAATAAAAAGTATATGTAAATAACTAATAAGTGCTTACGTGCGTACGTACGTGTATACATTATTGCGTATTTCATTGCTACTTTGCTTGCTTTGCTATGCTTATTGTTACTTCTGTGTTTCGTATGGTGAGCGTAGAAAACCCGAGACCCTTTTATTTAGAAACGCGGCATTCCGTCTTAGTCCACAGAGGTTAGAACTTTTCTCCATTTTGTTTCTTGATCGAAGATAAAAGTAGATATCTATGAGCCGCATCATTCACTTACCACCAGGTGTACTGTGAGCTTGTTTGTCATCCGTATTGTTGCGCGGCTAAGTTGACATCTGGCACTAGCGCCATCTAGTGTCGGGTAACGGAGCGAGGGGAGAGCTTTCCAGAAAATGACATCACTAATCTTTCAACCGACAGTGCCATCTGTTGTCGAAACGAAGAACTAAGCTTCTGGAAGCTGACTCTCGAACTTTCGGCGCTTTGTCGATTGGTGCGCGTATTTACTTGAATGTTCTGGATAATTCGGTACTAATGTGTATTTATAGGCGCTGCAAGGTGCGATCGGGGAAGTATTGAATTTGGCGAGACAAGCGAAGCTTCGGAGCGGAATAAAGTGAATTAGTGTGCTTAATTATTGGTGTTTTAAACTTTAATTTGTGTAAAGATAATTAAAGTGTTAATTTAGGTCCTATCGGCAATTTTTATTGTCACGAACCTCAAGTCCGTAACAATTGGTGTCAGAAGTGGGATAAAATCATGCCGATTTTACCTAAAGAGGAAACGGAGGGTGTCCGTACCCACAGTCAACGCCAGTATGAGACGGACCAGAGGAGATTTGGTCGTGCAACGCCGCAGACGTCGGAGGGCCAACTGCCAGCCACGGAGGCTGCGGGCCCGTCAGTAGCTCCTACATCTGCAGCACCTGACTTAGGTGCTCTGATGGCGATGCTACAGGAGCAGCTGCAGCTCGGACGAGAGGAACAGGCCCGTCTGTTGAAAGAGCAGCAGGAGGAACAGGCTCGCCGACAGGAGGAACAGGTCCGTCGTTTGGAAGAGCAGCTGCGGGGCGGACAAGAAGAACAGGTCCGTCGTTTGGAAGATCAGCTGCGGGGCGGACAAGAGGAACAGGCCCGTTGGTTGGAAGAGCAAATGCTCCTCATGTAGGATCTTCACGCTACCTTCGGGAAGGAGATAAAGGAGGTTAAGGAAAGGGTTGCTCAGCATGACAAACGCCTGTCGGAAGCTGAAACCCAAATCGCGAAGGCTGAAACCCAAATCAAGGAAGCTAAAACCCAAATCGACCAAGTGAACAATCGGGTAGACAACGTGGTGGCTGATGTGAAGAAAACGCTGGACGATCTCAAACTGGGGAATGGAACTACACTTCCCGTGGTAGCTACAACACCTTCAGCACGTGGATTCAAAGTGCCGTCGTTCGACGGAACTTCTTCCTGGGCGGTCTACAAAATCCAGTTCGAGGCTGTTATGAAGGCAAACGGCTGGAATAAAAGTCAGGCCATGACTGCTCTCACACTAGGCTTGCGCGACCGGGCTTTAACTGTTCTAGAAGCTCTCGGTAAAGAAGTGACTTACGAGCAGCTCCTTGAGGCATTGGAGGCTAGATATGGCGACGCTCACCTGGAACACGTCTTTCGAGCGCAGCTTAGAGATCGCGTGCAACGCAGCAACAAAAACCTACAGCAGTGGGCTCTAGAGGTGGAGAAGCTGGTGCGAAAAGCATACCAATCTTTACCTGCGCTCATTGAAGGGAACCTGGTGCAGACATTCATCGACGGCATCCGCGACCTGGAAGTCAGAGCTGCTGTGAGGCTCGGGCACCACGAGACGCTTAAGGACGCCTTGGCCCATGCACTGGAGGTAGAAGCCGTGCGGCAGGATCATCGTTTCCATCGCATCAAGGAGGTTGCAGCAGCTACAGTACGCGACCGCCCAGCAGCAGCAGGGAAACGAGTAAAAGCCAGAACTGCGGGGCGGGTGCTGGCTAATGTTAAAAGAGCCCCAAGGATCTCGATCTCACAAACCCATGATGGGAACAGTCTAATCATCAAGGGCGAGGTCAATGGAATGCCGTGTAAACTGACCATAAACACTGGAGCCTCTCGTACGGTTGTTAGTTCCCAACTTATAAGTCAGTTCCTTGGGGACTCCGCATACAACCGAGAACGCATTAATTTGGTAACAGCCACCGGTCAGCGTATACCCGTCCGTGGAGAGAAGGAGATGGAGTTGAAGCTAGGCAACGTGCTACCTGCATAATGACATCGTGGCTGACATAATGGACGACTGCATCCTAGGCCTAGACTTTATGAGGAATAATTGTTGTGAGATCGACGTTATGCAAGGTGTTTTGAAATGTGGACAGGAGGAACTTTTTATGGAAGATGCGTTACCAGGGAACATGTACAGCAGTAAGAAGATTGTTCTTCCGCCGAGATCGGAAACGATTGTTCCGGTTAGTCTTCCTCGAAACGCTGGGCAAGCTCACCGTTGTGTACTTGTGGAAAGGGTAAACAATGACCTTCCATGGAAAGTAGCTCTAATCATGGTCAGGACCACTGACATCTCAGGAGTACGTATGCTGAGCCTTTGCGACCGGGAGCAGATTATAGAAAAAGGCACACTGGTTGGTACTTGTGAGGAAGTGGATTGGTTACGTCGGTGCCAATATATATCGAGTGGGACCCTCAGCAAGGATGCAGCAGAAACGAGAGTGACCACACTTTTGAAAGACTGTCGCAGTGTTCTCTCCCCGTATGAATTGGTCAAGCGAATGTTCAAGTACGCCGATGTATTCTCATCAAGCGATGCTGACATAGGAAAGACTGGCTTAGTTCAACACAAAATAAACACAGGAGAAGAATTGCCTATCCATCAGCGGCCAAGAAGATTTCCGGTAGCACGTGAAAAGGAAGTGGAAACCATGATTGAAGGAATGGTGAAGGATGGTGTTATTGAACCTTCCTCTAGTCCATGGTGTTCACCAGTGGTACCAGTGGTGAAGAAGAAGGATGGCAGCATGCGGTTTTGTGTTGACTACCGCCGTCTGAACGACTTTACGAAGAAGGACAGCTATCCCTTACCAAGAATTGATGACACGCTGGACATGCTTACAGGAGTAAAGTGGTTTAGCACGCTGGATCTAAAAAGTGGCTACTGGCAAGTTGAAATTGACCCTAAGGACAAGGAGAAAACTGCGTTCTCGACGGGAAAGGGTCTGTGGCAATTTAAAGTAATGCCATTTGGGTTGTGCAATGCTCCAGCAACGTTTGAAAGGCTGTTGGAACTTGTACTTACCGGGCTAATTGGCGATGCCTGTCTGGTCTACTTGGATGACATCATCATCGTAGGCCGGACGTTTGAGGAACACCTTCAAAACCTGGAACGCGTGCTCATGAAGATTCAGAGTGCCAACCTCAAATTGAGTCCGAAGAAATGTTCACTATTCAAACGGCTAAGCGGCAAAGTTAACTTTTTGGGGTATGTAGTATTGGAAGAAGGTATCCGCACGGATCCAGAGAAAATCGCCGCTGTCAAGGATTGGCCGGTTCCAAAAGACAAGACGCAGGTTAGAGCATTTTTGGGTTTGTGCTCCTATTACCGGCGATTTGTGAAGAATTTTGCAGATATAGCCAAACCTCTGCACAAGCTAACCGAGGAGAAGCGACATTTCTGCTGGGATGAAAGTTGCAATATCGCATTCCAGGAGCTCAAGGACCGTCTGTGCAAAACACCTATTTTGGGATACCCTGAAGCAAGCAAAGAATTTATAGTCGACACAGACGCAAGTGATATAGGACTTGGCGGTGTGTTATCTCAACGGAATGGTGACCAAGAGGTCGTGATAGCGTACTTCAGCAAGTCGTTGTCAAAACCGGAAAGGAACTATTGTGTCACAAGACGCGAATTGCTCGCTGTGGTAAAGTCGTTGCAGCATTTTAGCAAATATCTTCTGGGGCGGAAATTTCACTTACGAACTGACCATGCTGCACTAAAATGGCTATTACAGTTTAAAAATCCAGAAGGACAAGTTGCGAGGTGGATTGAACTACTGCAGGAATACGACTTTGAGATCGAACATCGCAGCGGGAAATCTCATGGCAACGCAGATGCATTGTCAAGAAGACCTTGTTCTGAAGATTGCAAACATTGTACTAGGCAAGAGAGTAAGGAAGTGGTATCCGTTAGGATGCTCAGGGCAGACCACCTCAGCAACGAGTGGAAGGACAGCTTACTACATGCACAGCAGGAAGATCCGGACATCAAGCCGATTCTGGAATGGATAAAGGCCAGTGCTCCCAAGCCCAAGTGGAGTGACGTCTCAGCGATGAGTTCGACCACTAAAAGCTATTGGGCCCAGTGGGACAGCTTGCTGCTTCAGGATGGAGTTCTGTGTCGTAAATGGGAAAATGTGCGGGGAGTCAGCTGTCATTTGCAAATGGTTGTCCCTAAAGCTAAAGTACCGGATGTTCTACAGCTGTACCATAATGATTGTTCAGGAGGCCATCTGGGAGTTAAACGAACTATACTGAAGATCCGAGAACGGTTTTACTGGGTCCACTGTCGAAACGATGTCGAGGACTGGTGTCGCAAATGTACAAGTTGTGTGGCTGTAAAGGGACCTCAGACTCGTAGTAGAGTTGCATTGAAGTTGTACAATGTTGGTGCACCATGGGAGAGAATAGCCATTGACGTGGCGGGACCGTTTCCGGAGAGTGAAAGCGGTAACAAGTATTTCATGGTTGTGATGGATTACTTCACTAAGTGGCCAGAAGTCTTCGCCATTCCAAATCAAGAAGCTTCAACAGTTGCGGATAAGCTAGTTCATGAAGTCTTCTATCGTTTTGGAGTATCTTTAGAGATTCACAGCAATCAAGGAAGGAATTTTGAGTCTCAAATATTCCAGGAAACTTGCCGAGTTATGGGTACTCACAAAACAAGAACGACTTCTTATCACCCACAATCCGATGGAATGGTAGAACGATTTAATCAGACATTGGAGAGGTACCTAGCAAAAGTTGTAGACAATCGGCAACGAGATTGGGACAAGCACATACAACCGTTTTTGTTGTCATATCGAAGCGCTGTTCACGAAAGTACAGCAGTGACACCAGCTTTCGCAAACTTTGGAAGAGAATTACGGCTGCCTGCAGACCTGATCACCGGGATACCACCTGATACCCCACGCAGTATAACCGATTATGCAAATGACTTGCGGAACAAAATGAATGACATTTATGAGCACGTTAGACAATCGGGCCAGCAAATGTCTGAGAAGATGAAAACCCGGTACGACCGCAAAATGAACAATAAAGGCTTCGACGAAGGTTCACTAGTGTGGTTGCACAACAACTTGAATGTTCTGGATGATTCGGTACTAATGTGTATTTATAGGCGCTGCAAGGTGCGATCGGGGAAGTATTGAATTTGGCGAGACAAGCGAAGCTTCAGAGCGGAATAAAGTGAGTTAGTGTGCTTAATTATTGGTGTTTTAAACTTTAATTTGTGTAAAGAAAATTAAAGTGTTAATTTAGGTCCTATCGGCAATTTTTATTGTCACGAACCTCAAGTCCGTAACAGTATTCTAAAAAAGCTACTTTTTGAATCAGTCAAATATAACTTAAATATAATTGTTTTAATATTTGTAAATTACTATTTCAGTATCTGAATGGTGTTACCATCTCATTTATTTTCTTTTTCAGTCTGTAACAGTTCAATACTATCCAGCAGCATGGGTCTGTATGGGTCCCAGTGGACTGTGATAAGCAATAATGTGCTCGTTAAAATTTTTCATCACCCAAAAGCCATCCTTTGGTCAGGTGATGGGAAGATGGGACTTTACCGTTTGCAATGGTCCAATCTTCGCTCGTGCAAATCAGCTGGTACAGTCCTGGCACGCATCGCATCCAGTTGAGTTATCTTCCCGGCAGAAGCTTCCAGAGCATTTTTCACGGCGAAGTACTCACGATGAACCGTTTCGTAGTCGCGGATCATTGCTGCCACTGACAAATTTTACGCAAAGTGGTTTTAAAATATTTATTATAGTTTCAAACGAAAAACAACTTAAAATAAACAAAAAATTACGCACTAGGTACAATGTGTGTACAAACAAGGAAAATCAAGCAACATCTTAACCAGTCCACTCTGCCAGCCGTCACAGAGTAGGGAAATGTCGTAGCAATCGCCACGCTTGCAGTCGGGTTGACAACCGCAGTGCCAAACGTCTCGCACATTTGACACTGCTAGTCGACACCGGACTGTTATTGATATATCTAAGATCTATCTGATATACGGAATATAATAAATGTTGAATAAAACTATATATTTTTAAGCTATTGCATAGCTTCTATCGCGGGCCTTGATCGCGGGGACCGAATCCAGAAATTCCGTAACGAAAAAAAACCTCACGCTCCCCACTCCGACGGGCACGGAGGTGTGGCTTGAAGGCCGTGCATTGTCTAACGTCGTTCCTTTTCGGCAGTCTTTGACACGGTGTTTGTGTGCGTGCAACTAGACGTATTGTACGACTCTACGAAGCTCGCACGAATCGAGACGAGCTGCTCCGAAATCGGACGAATACATAAGCAGCTGTTTATGAGAAAGTATATAGGTGTATAGGTATTTATGTACAACAATGAATAGCTGTACTTGTAAAATTTGTGTATAAAGTGTTTTGAATATGAATGAACAAAGTGCATTTATTATTAATGAAGAAAGTCACGAAAAAATAGTGAAAGAAAATGAGTGAGTACTCTATATACATACATTTTATTATTATCACAAATGCAGTATTAATTTTGAATTGAAAATATAATACTGCTATAAAGATAACCTAAATTTTTGATATTAAAATGAGCGATATTACAAGTAGCCCTCTTTTATACACACAAACACACACACGCGTATAGTTTAAATTCTCAATTTAGATTCTCAATATGTATATATATAAATAAATTCATTCTTCATTATGTATATAACAGAAGCCATCGAACCAAGCACGTGTACTATTCAGTACCTTTGTTTTTGGTGTATAGATAATGCACATGAATGCCGCGCAGAGAAAGTATATATGATATTATATCTATATAAATGTACATCGCGCGAAATTCGATAATCACTTCTTAATATCGTTATTTTTTTTTTAAATAAATAATTTTGTTTTGGTGTGTCATTACACTATTTATACCTAATTATTTATACCTATTATTTATACCTAGATATTTTCTTTTTATAAAGAAGAAAAGCGTAAAGAGCTAAAAAGAAAAAAAAGAAAAATATTTTAAACAATATTAACTTTTTATTTATTTAATAAAAGAAAAAAAATTGTTTTCTTATCGGTCACCACGCTCAAAAAGTGTAACTTGAATTAATATCAAAGAAAAAGAAATACTGCATAAATAAAATAAATAAAAAATAATTATAATTGCATAAGTTGATACAAAATGCAATGCAATAGCTTTACCGCGGCAGTCCCCGAGTGCCACACGTCTTTTTTTATAGAAGAGTGGGCAAACGAGCATAAGGTTCACTTGATGTTAAGTGACTTCCGCCGCCCATGAACAACCGCAACACCAGGGGAATTGCAGGTGCGTTGCCGGCCCTTTAGAAAGGAGTAAGCTCTTTTCTTGAAGGTCTCCAGGTCGTATCGGTCCGGAAAAATCGAGCCGATCGGAAAGCACTCGTTCGTCGACGATTCGAGCCGCTCTGCGCTGGATGCGGTCAAGTGGAAGGAGCTGGCACTGGGGAGCTCCAGCCCAGAGATGGGAACAGTATTCTGTCCCGCTCTGCTGAGCACGCAAAGCTTTTTAGAGGCCAATTTGGCCTTCTCTTCCAAATGACCCCGAAACTGCATGTCACTCGATATTTCGACGCCGAGGATTCCGATACTGGCTGAGGGTACAAGGGGAGTGCCTTGAAACAGGAGATACGACAAAGGGGTTCTTTTTAGCGGTTAACGCGCAAACTTGTGTCTTCTGAGGATTTAACTGGACTAGATTTAATCGCCCCCAATCCGAGACTTTGTTCAGCAAAGACTCGATTTTGACACAAGTTTGTCCCGGTACTCGGAGACGTTTTCCCGAGAAATATTGTACACGGCCGGTAAACAGAGGATCACCAGTGTTGACATCTGCATAACAATGAATGTTGCCGGTTTGCAACATATCATTGATATGCAGAAGAAACAGCGTTGGTAATAGCACGCAGCGTTGTGGAACACCAGGCTGCCAGGCAACTGCCAGACAGGCAGGCAGGCGTTAATAGGCTTGTAATCGGAGCTTGCACCGTCTACAACGACCTTCATGCTCCGATCTGCAAGAAAGCTGGTGATCCAATTGAATATTTTCCCGGGAAGCCCCTAGAAAGGGAGCTTCGAAAGAAGAATTTTATGCCAAACCCGATCGAAGGCCTTCGCAATGTCCAAACTAACGGCCAATGCCTCCCCCTTGGACTCTACTGCCACCGTCCATCTATGAGTCAGATAGACCAGAAGATCACCAGCTGATCGACCTCGATGAAAACCGTATTGGCGATCACTAATCAGTTGGTGATCCTCGAGGTACCTCATGAGCTGGCAGTTTACAATGGACTCCATTGTTTTGGAGAACAAGGAGGTGATGGCGATTGGCCTGTAGTTGGAAGGGTCTGAGCGGTCACCTTTTTAGGGATCGGGTGGACGAAAGCCGTCTTCCATGATTTTGGGACTACGTTCAGGGGGTAGGAGTACCGCAAAAGACGCATTAAGACCGGTGCCAACTCTGGAGCACACGTCCTCAGCACTATTGGGAGGATACCGTCAGGCCCACTCGACTTGTGGATGTCCAGGAAGAGAAGTGCTTTGCGAACCGAGCGCTGTATGAACCGCACCTCCGGCATGGAGCATCCACACCGCGGGATGGTCAGCAGCGTACTCCCCCCATCATCGAGAGTCGAGTTGGACGCAAAGAAAGAGCCTAGCAGATCGGCTTTCTCCTTTGCGGCATGGGCCAGTGAGTCGTCCTCCCTGTGCATAAATGGAAAAGATGGCTGACAGATATTCCCCTTGACAGCCTTAGCGAAAGACCAGAATGCACGGGTTCCAGAAGGAAGGCGAACTAGTTTCCAACCAATTCGCCAATGTTCTCTGAGTTTGCCTTGGCAATGACTCTTTGGAAGGACTTGGAGGCGGAATTATACTTCTTTTTTAGAGCACTAGTGTTTACATCCCGGGACGTTGATGTGTCAGCCCAGGCTTGGTAGCACTCCTGCTTATAGCATGTATCCTATGGGCACCACAGAGGAAGGAATAAAAAGTTTCATACGCTGAAGTATCACATCAGCGACAGAATCAGCAACAACGTTGGGATCGTCCGGCGAGAAGCAAACCCGCCTCCAAGGGTAGGATGCAAAAAAGGACCGCATGATATCCCAATCAGCTGACCTATAGTGCCAAACACGGCGGCAGCCTGCAGAATGCAACCGCGATTTCAGCGTGAGTGGCACCACACTGCGGACAAGACAATGGTCCGAGGAGCCTAAAGGGGAGTCGACGGAAATCTGATACCCGTCCGGATGAGAGGTCAGCAGAAGGTCCAACAGGGAAGGTGCATGATCCTCCACATCTGGAATCCGCGTAGGTGAAGTAACCAGTTGTGTCAGACCATTTGCCAAGTCAAAATAATGAACAGATCTCCCCGCATGATCGGTTGAACGTGAACCAAGCCATTCGGCGTGGTGGGCATTAAAATCGCCGAGGATCACGATCTCTGCGGAGGGGATCTGCTTTAGCAACGAATCTGTTGCCATTTGGACGTAGTCGGAAGAGTCGGTTTGTAGAGGCACCCGTAGACACGCGGATAGTCGTCGGTGTCTACGCGTAGCCAAAAGGATGGACAGGTCCGAACATTAAAACTGTCGAGGCGTCGAAAACAGATGTCCTCTCTGAAGTATACGCAACTCCAGACCGAGGCACAAAGGAGTGTTCCAGTTTGTAGCCCGGGTAGGAGAGATACGAATCATCAGTCGGAGAGGGCACCTGCGTTTCGGTCAGAAAGAGCAGAGCCGGCCTCGCCACCTCGAGATGGTAGTGGACGGCGTTTAGGTTATTGCTTAGCTTACCCCGAGCAGTTGTTGTCTTGAGCGGAATTTTGTTTGTATTGAGCCGGAATTGAGCCGGCCGATACGTGCAACAGCAAAGCTACCGCTTGGCTCTACCACTCTATAACTGTTATACATACGGATTCTATCGGGTTTAATTTACTTAATTTAACTTATATTTAATTCCCGACGTTCCGGGTGCTTTACACCACCCATGGTCACGGGGAGGACTGAGATGTGTGAAGCTACAATGTCATAGTTAGCCCGGCTACCTTCAGTTTTTTTTAATATTAATTTTCGGTCCGATCTACGCAGAACGAGCTCACAGTATCTTGAAGTATTGCTGTGGTGTGCTTGGGTTAGGGTTTAGTTTTGTTAATTATAGAATCTCAAGCAGATGGCAGCACCCATCCATCTTCTCTATTGAAATTAGGATGTTTTTTAATTTCAATAGCCTCGCGTATCATTCTTGGTAGGAATCGATGTTCTTTTGCGAGGATTTATGGTTTATCAAATCTGATGTAATGGTGGGGACGATCTTGAACATGTTTATTATGTTTGTTATTCAAGAAATCATTATATGTTCACACATGTTTGTTGTTTAAGAAATCATTTTATACGTGGTAGAGCCATGCAGTTATATTAGTAGTATAGTTGTAGCACGAATGGGTCGGCTCAACGGGGGAAGGACCACGCTCTCACAGAATACCAGCGTAAAATAGTAGCTTAATGCTGCTGTGTTTCGTATGGTGAGTGGAGAGAACCGGAGAACCTTTTTACTTATTCCATCTTAGTCCTCACGGGTGACAACGCATCTGCATTTTATTTTGTAATCGAGGATACATGTAGATGTCTATAGTCTGCAGCAACCACTTACCAGCAGGTGGACTGTGTGCTCGTTTGTCACCCTATCCTATAAAAAAATCATTATACACGAAATGACCATTTAGTGGCGGTGTAAGACTACGTCATTTAACATTAATAGTTAAAAATAAAAAATAAAAAGTTTTTGCCAACCCGCCTGCCGAGCGTAGCAGGTATGGAAAGTATCCCCTATGAGGCAATTTATGGGGAGGCCTATGTTCAGTGGACTATAAAATACTCAAACTGACGAAGAGCAGCAACGTCAAACGTGAGATCGTCTCCCTTACTGCGATCGTCAATCTCCATGCGAAGCGTTACGATTGAGGCATACCCTCCATAATTAATGTACTCTAGACCGAATTTCGGTCACGGCGGTCAGTCTCAACGGAGACTAACCATCTGCTCTGAACAGGATTATAATGCCGGAATATATACGCCTACACAGGTGTACTCACTATTCACTCACTCCTAAAAATCATCTCTGCTGCAGGATCTTTCTATGTCCAGCAGTGTGCTTTTAGTGGCCGATAAAGAAAAAAAGAAAGAAATATGCTAAAGCAGATTAAGTGACCGAATGAATTTAAAATAATAAATTGTTGCATATGCAACATAAACCTCACAATAGGATATTACACCTATTTTCAAATAGTGTTTTAAATAAATTCTAGAATGATAATGAAACAATATTTTTTTATTAAAACTACTTTTAAATTAATTCTAGAATGATAATGAAACAATATTTTTTTATTAAAACTACTTTTACGGATTTTATCGCGTTTAATTTTAAATGATTTTTAATTCCCGACGTTTCGGGTGCTTTCCAGCATCCATGGTCATGGTCTATGACATGTAAAAGTAGTTTTATTCAATGTGTAGTGTTCGCGTAAATATAAGAAATTGTTATATTTTGATATAATAATTTCTTATATTTACGTATATTTTATTGTTGATATTTTTTTAAATTTTTGGAAACCGAATAGTAACATAAAAATTACTTTTAATCTATCGTTTTAAATTTTCCGCTTCGTTTTAAATTCACTGACCGGATTGACCAAGAATGTTCTACATTTATATCATTGGCTATAATATCATGCGCCAGCAAAGGTGATGGCAGAATTAATTTTGAAAAAGTGATAGTAATTTCTACTCCGCGAAGCGCCTACAAGCAATCGACCAACGACATCTGCAATTATTAAGTATTTCCCCTCATAATCCGCATTTTTACTCACGTAACGTTCACGTAACAGTAATGTCTTTTTTATCATCCAATACAATTTATTTTAAGTTAGTTTAAGATACCGAAGTTCAATTGCACTTACTTTTATCTTCATACAACTCATATACTTCTTTTAACTTAGACTCTGCTCGCTCTGCCCTTTCGGTCAAAGTCGCCTTTTCAATATCTGCCGTCTCTTTATCCACTACGATTCTCTTATAGCTCTGTCTCACATGCTGCAGCTCGTTTTCTAAAGCCTCGACTTTGTCGCTTAAAGATTTATTTTCACTAATTACTTGTTTAGATTTCTTGTTCATATTCTCAAATTGCTTTTCGTAGTCTAAAATAAGATTGTCTTTTTCTTGAAGGTTTTCTTGATATGCGTCAAATAGAGGTGCTGAAATATTTAAGTACATTATCATAACTTACTACCATAGAAGATGAAATAAATGTTGACTTGGTGCTCTACACAAGAAAATAATGTATGTAAAAAAATTGCCGGCTCGGTAGCGCAGTAGCTAATCATTTGTCTGCTTAGCAGCGGGACCGAGGGTTTGAATCCCGCGAATGAAGTCTTGCAAAGCCTACGAGTAACTTTTCTAGATTTGAATGTTCATGAGCACTTTACATATGTGAAATTCCTAGTGATGATGTTATACGAATGTCTTTATCTTGTAAAATATTGATCACTGCCAAAACACAAAGTGGTCGGTTTTGGGAGTAGGGTAGTGCCTGCGGTCAGACATTTAGGTTTATATTTGAAAAAGAATAGGTTTTAAAAGTTTGAAAAGAATCCGGCTCGAAGGACCATTACGAATGTATGTTTGGCCTGGTCATACATTTTAAGATTTTTTTAGACAATTTGTTTTACATTTATCATAAAATATATAAAGACTTACATAGAATTACGGGAGTGGCATTAGACAGACAAATGTTCTTGATAATGCGTGATGTCAAGATAATGACGGTTAAAGAGTAGATCTTTATTATGTTTGTTTTCACTAACAGTTAGTTCCATCGCGTATTCTACGTCCTTCATTTTCATATTACAGACACCATTTCTTAGGTTGACATTACATTGATATTAGACTATATACAGAATTAAGAGTTCCAAAAATCCAAAAAGTTAAACATAGAATAATTACCTAATGCTTGTGCGCTCAGCAATCCGGATAAATCTACAAGTCTCGTGTGGCTTTCTTCGTGATTTTCTTTCTTTGCTGCAGAATCTTCGATTCCAGATTCTGTAAAGTATTATGTAAAACTTTCTTTAAACATGTTTTGTCACCATAATTATAAAATATCTTCCTAAACACTTTTTTCATATTTAAGTCTAAATAAACTGGTAATTAACTAAATAAGAGAACCTAATACCTCTTCGTACTTTGTTTTTTAGATTATCAAATATTTAACAGCAGCTGTAAAGGGGAAACCTGTTTTATTTACTAGAAACTAGATTTACTATTGATATTAGTGTCACGGTTTCGGCGGCGTGAGGAAATCCACGTCCACATATTACCACCCTGTGGGTGTCGTAAGAGGCGACAGGGGGAAACTGGTGGGCACCAGCGTTTTACTGACAACAGCTAAAAATAATAAAAAAAATTAAATTGCAAACCTGCCTGGCAAGCGTTGCAACTATGGCAAATATGATGGATGTTTATAAGGTAATCTACGGTGAAGAGGCCTATGGCCTAGGCCCATGCTTAGCAGTGGACCTTGGATGATAATGATGATGTTGAGAGTCAATTGCCCAATTGTTTATTTAGAAGAAACTGATGACCGCTTTCGTGGTAGAGCCACACTGCAACTATATATAGCTCTATCACTAATAGGTACGCTCGACCGGGGTAGGACTACGCTCTCACAGAATACCAACACGAAACGGCAAAATAATGCTGCTACGTTTCATATGATATGCAGAGATCCGAAGACCCTTTTCACTGGTATCGAGGCGTTCCATCTTAATCCTCGGAGATAACAACGTATCTGTATTTAGACTCTTAATTGATGATATATGAACATATATATGGTGCAGTGGCGTAGCTACCTTGGGGCTAGGCGGGTCAGTGCCCCTGGGCCCCCAAGCTCAAGGCGCCCCTCAGCCTCCGTGAACGACATTTGAAAAAATTATATAACGTAAATTATACATATTTTTTTATTGGATAGGGTGACAAACGAGCACACAGTCCACCTGATGGTAAGTGGTTGCTGCGGCCTGCTGCATAGACATCTACATCTATCCTCGATTACAAATCAAAATGCAGATGCGTTGTCACCCGTGAGGACTAAGATGGAATGCCTCCTTTCCAGTAAAAAGGGTAAACTAATTAATTAAAAAAAAACGATTTTTTTACTTTATGACCCTGAGAAATAAACTTCGAATGGCTCGAAATAAAACTACGAAAATTTCTTTCACTTCTAGAATATTAAACATCATTGTTAAAATAAAATCGTCTACTTAGTTTTATTGTCTAAATATCTGTATTATTAACTGTAATCTACTTCGTATTTGCTTATTTTACTACCTTCCGCCCGCGACTTCGTTCACCTGGTATTGGTATGGACCAACATTGAAAATTCCTTCCTTTATTAAAAGGATACTTTTATCGGGATGAAACGGTAACGATGAGGTGAAACAGTGTGCTAAATTTCATGCAAATCCATAAAGCATTTTTTACGTGAAACCGTAACAAAATTAACTAGCAACCCGCCCCGGTCAATCATTTTATATAAAAAACCATGGTTCATAATATTTCAAAGATAAATATGATTACGGTGAGTTAAATACAGGAGATAAGCAGATTATTATGCCAGCGCGGACTGTTGGCCTAGACTTTTTGAAGAACTATGATTCCTCGGTACATTATTTTAATTTATCTCTTTAAAGTTTAACCAGCCAGAATTTTTGACGACTTATAAATACAAAATATTGAACTCTTTTTACTATTCAAAGTTAAGTAGAATGTATTGTACATACTAAACTTCCGTAAAAAAAAATCTCTAAATGGCAGTGAAAAACGTTTTAAAATCCGTTGCGTGGTTGTGTAGTTTAAAAGAAGTAAGTAGGTAAAGGATTGTTTTGAAAAATCGAAAACTACCTATTCATTTATTTTATCAACAGAGTAGAGTACTATATATACAATCAATCGCCCCGTAAAATAAAATTTGTCAAACAAACTGTAACACCTCATTTCATACAATCAAACATATAGTCTACGTAATAAAAGAAAGCTAAATTATCATAATTTCAAACGTCTTCGAGTTCCGCATCTTTTTCGCGTTCTTCGGCTGTCATATCAAGTTGGCATTATATTGCAATGCTGCGTTGACATTTAACTGGAGAACTGCAAGCTGGTATTTTTAACTTGCAATAGGGACCAGGCATAATGTGATTTCGAGGTTGTGGTCCAGCTATCGTGGCACAGGGGAGGTGGCGGAGAGACATCCAGGATATTTCTTATATACAAAACTCACCCTCGTTTTAAAGCCGGTTAGATTTTGAAAAAAATTAACAATGTTAATTTTACTATGTTAAATTCGAGAGAATAAATAATATGCACCTATTTTCTAATTAAAATAAAAATATTAATTTTTCTCGATACAAATTTAAGAACCTTATGGCCCTCTTTAGGAGGTTGTTTTGAAACATCTCAGAGAGTACTTTCAGTAAGTCTCGAGTCAATCGCTCCGTAAAATAAAAAGTTTCATAAAATTGTAACATACTATTTCCCCCCTCTTACCGTTATCGTTACATCCTATTAAAGTCCACTGTAGAACGTAGGCCACCTGCCCCATAGGGTGGACATTTGCCATAGTTGCCGCGCCTGGCTTGTGGGTTGACAACTGGAATTTTTTTTTAGTCGTTATTAGGAAGACATTGCTGTCCATCTCCTGATTAGTTTCCCTCTGGCGCCTCTTACGACAGCCGCGGAATGATATGAGGTAGTGGATATGCTTGCACCGCTACTACACGGTAACACCTCTCTTACTAAGGGTTGAGTTTTCTTAGTGGGTGCTTACGTCATAAAAGGCAACAACTGTCAGATTGCTACGTCTAGTTTCTTGAGATGTTCGTCATGATATAACATTTTTCATACAAACTTTGCACGCCCTCTTTAAGTCCCTAAGATTTTTTGAACAAACTAAAAATGTGAAATTTATTATTTTTATTTCCAGTGAGACTTTCGTATTACAAAACAAAATGCTAATTAATTTTTTTCTGGTCCCTCTTTAATGGATTATTTTCAAAATCGCTAAATCCGTATCCATTTATTTCACTTTTTATAGAAAAAGGGTGACAAACGAGCACACACTTCACCTGATGGTAAGTGGATGCTGTGGTCCATAGACATATTTATCCTCAATGAAGAATCAAAATGCAGATGCGTTGTCACCCCGAAGGACTAAGATGGAATGCCTTGTTCTCTACAATCACCATAAGAAACACAACAATATTACGATGCTATTTTACGCCGGTATTCTGTGAGAGAGCGCCGTGGTAGTTCAGATGATTAGTGCTCGCTATAGATTTCACACAGTGCGCGAGCAAACCGCGTAGGTTCCGCGGCGGCATCAATGAAATTGTTAATTGCAATTTTAAGTGCTGATTTACCACGTGCTCGGCGGTGAAGGAAAACATCGTGAGGAAACCAGCATGTCTGAGAAATAAGAAATAAGAAAAAATATTTAGAAGACATGTGGTGTTTGCCAACACGCAAACGCTCGGTGGACAATTCCTCGTCGTAAAACCCTCTCAGAAATGAGCTGAAGCCTGTGCCCAGGAGCGGGACGTACACAAGCTGTAACTTAAACTTTTTATTCTGTGTGAGCGTAGCCCTGCCCTGGTCGAACCTACCTAATCTATTCCTGTTGCAATCATAATATAGCTGCAGCGTGACTCTAACACGTAATATAGAGATTACCTTTAGTAAGTTTCAAGTCAATCGCCCCGTAAAATAATAAGTTTCATACAAACAGCATCATCCTATTTCATCCCCTTAGAGGTTGAATTTTCCTTGATCCTTTCATAGTGGACGCCTACGTTATAAAAGGCAGCGACTATCCCATTTTCAGATTTCTAAGTATAGCGGTTTGGGCTGTATATGGAAATACAATTAAATAGTATATGCTGCGTTACACATACTACATAGTATTTTTGCACATTTAAATTATTTAGTTTAGTTCAAATAGGGCCCAATTTCTTTTTTGCCCCGGGGCCCTTGGCTGCGTAGCCACTGATATGGTGGTCCATCTAGGTGAACTATTTGCTCGTTTGTTACACGTACATTACAAAAAACGTACGTTACAAAAAACGACGTAAAAACTTAAATATTAACATGGTGCTTTTTTTTGATATTTTTGAATGGTTAGGGAATAATTTTGCACGAATTGCTTTAATTATCAGTATAAAAGTACTATAATTTATGTGGTAAAATAAAATATTTATTTATTTTTATCGTACACAAACACGACAATTTATATTACATTAAAAAGTTTATCTTCTCATATGCCGCGCCGGCTGTCTACTCTCCATCCGTCTTAAGAATTTTCTATCAGGACACGGGTCCTGACGCGAGTTTAACATTTTTTACCCATTACAAAAAAAGTGTACAACGTCGCTAAAGAAATTTTCACTTCAAAAATATTTAAAAATAAATCCTGAACGAATAAGACACAACACCTCTTATATAGGCTGCATTCTGCATGCGGCGCAACATTAATATTCTCACCTCGTTTGTGCCCCAGACTGGCGGTGATGAGTGAATCCAAGCATTCGTACTTGTTCGTGGCTTTGTTATCTGTGGATAAAGTTGGTGCGTTGCTGCGTAATTTCTCTTGGTAGCGGGAGAGCTGCACGTTTAGCCTGAAAGTAAAAGAATAAAATACCAATAAGACACGGTTATATCTTTAAGCGGGTGAGACTTTTTGTACAAAGATAAAAGGGCAATCATACTTGGTAGCTGATTTGTACTACACGAATTAGCGTCGGGGATTCTGATTGATTACGTAGCTGAACGTAATAGAATATCGGGTTCCAGCGCCAGCAGATTCAATTCATTTATTTATTTGTATGGCTGCAATGACGGAAAAACTCATAGCGAAAATACAATCGCGAGAATGTCGAAAAGTAAATGCGACAATACTCAAGCAGACTTTGTTTACGCAGTATCGCATTTTACGGTACAGCACTCGTAATGTTACCACAGTGTGAACAAAAAATGAAGTCTGAGATCACATTCAATTAGGGCTCACAATATATTTCGAGAAACAATACCCCTGGTGTTACAGTTGTTCATGGGCGGTTAACACTTAAATACCATCAAAAGGCGATAAAGGGATACAAATCAGAATCTATCTATATAATAAAAACTGCGATTGCCAACCCGTCTGCCAAGCGTGACTACTATGGCAAATTTCCTAATATGGCAATCTTAGGGAAAGACTATGAAACGTTGATCGGCTGCAATGATGATGATCATATAAAATCTCTAAACACAGGGAATGTGATTAATTAGTTAATTAACTGTTTATTAAGAAGAACATCAATACCTGTACAATACATCCTTAAGAGCTTGCATATCTTTCTGCAGGCGAGAATTATGATCGCGGGCTTGGTTTAACACGATCTGTCTGCTGCTGCAGTTCATGCATACTTCGACTAGGGGAATGGCTGTGGAGGGCTCGGAATGTTCTGAAACCAAACAAAACATTATTCGATTTCAATTTGATGCTATATTTTCACAGTTATCATCACAATCACGGTCCACTGCTGAATATGAACATACCCCATAGTTAGAAAGATTTTCCTAATTTCGACTAGACGAATAGACTCTTAACGGATGAACTGAAGACGAGATGTCTCGAAGTCGAACCCGACTCCGCTTCTCGTCACCGATCTGAGTATAGAAGCAACCACAGGGTTAACGCAATCTATAGGAAATCGGAAATCTCAAGATATTTCACCATGGGATGAAATGGGGTAACGCTGCTACCACATGACGATTTTATGGTAGGTAGGGTGGTATGGGTTGCACTCCCAGTTGAATTCAATATATACATACTATACGCATCAATGCATCGATTACACGTTAACGCATCAATTCGGATAAGTAATAAACCAATACAGATAACTTAACCTTTTCTCTAGTCCCATGTACATTTTAACTATAATGATTATAGATTTTTCTTTTATAGGAGTAGGGTGACAACCGAGCACACAGTTCACCTTATGATAATGGTTGCTGTGACCCATAGACATCTACATCTATCCTCAATTACGAATCAAAATGCAAATGCGTCGTCACACGTGAGGAGTAAGATAGAATGCCGCCTTTCTAGTAAAAAGAGTCTCCGTTTCTCTACACTCACCATACGCAACACAGCAGCGTTAAGCTATTATTCTGTGAGAGCGTGGTCCTTCCCCGGTCGAGCCGACCCATTCGTGCTACAACTATACTACTAATATAGTTGCAGCATGGTTCTACCACGGAAATCCATCTGATGACAAGTAAGAAAATTTCATTAAATACAGCCTACATAGATTATCTCTTAAGGGAATTTCGCCATAGTTGTCACGCTCGGCATGTTGGTTAGCAAGTGCAGTTTTTTATTACATTCATATTAGGCTGTTGCCTGTCTCCTGTTTCAGTTTCGCTCTGTCATCTCTAACGACACCCACGGAATGATATGGGGTAGTTGATTGTCTTACGCCGGGCACCGCCAACGCACGGAAGTGCGGCAGCAACGTTTATTAAGCTATTGCATAGCTTCTATCGCGGGCCTTGAGCGCGGGGACCGAATCCAGAAATTCCGTAACGAAAAAAAACCTCACGCTCCCCACTCCGACGGGCACGGAGGTGTGGCGTTGAAAGCCGTGCATCGTCTAACGTCGTTTCAGTTCGGCAGACTTCGGCACTCGGCAGAGTTCGGCACGGTTTGTGTGTGCGTGCGACCAGACATATGCGTGTACACTAGCTGCTAACTCAATGATAAAAATTCCTGAATAACCTACACGTATTGTAAGATATTAAAAATATTTTAAACAATATTAACTTCTCATTTATTCAATAAGAGAAAAAAAATTGTTTTCTTTTCGGTTACCACGCTCAAAAAGTGCAACTTGATTTAATATCAAAGACTTAACTGCATAAATAAAATAAATAAATAATTATAATTGCGTAAGTTGATAAAAAATGCTATCCAATAGCTTTACCGCGGCAGTCACCGTGTGCCACACGTATTATTTTTATAAAATAAATAATTATGTATTTTCATATTCCCCGTAACATAAAGTTAGTAAACAGACAGAGAAAGGGTAAGTACAGTGTCAGAAAATCGGCTACCCGCGACAAAGGTCGCATAGCGATTTATATTTATATTTAAAAAAAAATATAAATTAAAGAAGAAAAAGAACTAAAAAATATATTCAGAAATCAAATTTTTATTGTGTTTGTTAACATACAACTCCCATAATAAGGCTTTGCTGAGCGTCCCATTGGAAATTTCCAGTACATGAATACAATGCATTGAACTAATTTGTAACTATGTACTAAAAGAGACACCGAGACTCGGTCGTTTGCAAGACACATTAGAGCCCGCGGGCTTAAACTTACTAAGACTTTGCCCTAGAAATGTACTCTGTACCTCTTTCCCCGTGCCTGTGAAATATAGAGGACTATCTCATATGAGGAACAAGATGAAAAAGTGTTCAGCTGTAAGCTGTAAATAATAGCTCCAAAACCTTTCAGAATAACGCTAGAGTAGATATACAGGGTATGGTATGAATATAGCAGTTGTAGGTGGATTGAAGAATGCGGAGTTAAAAAATGTAATTGACTAATTATTTTTTTATGTCAATAAAAATATTTTCCAACGTTTTTATAATTTATTAGAATAATTTTTTCATCCAAAATTGACACTTGTGAAATATTTTATTTAACATTTTGTTTTTGACGAACATTTGTTCTTAAATTTTTAACAGGAATTTATTAATGTAATAATTAAATTATTTGGTGCCGGAGGGGATCGAACCCGGGTTACTCGCGTTCTGTTATATATACAGCGAGCGTTAACCATCTGAGCTACCACGGCTCTTTGCAATTTTAAGTGCTGATTTACCACGTGCTCGGCGGTGAAGGAAAACATCGTGAGGAAACCTACATGTCTGAGGAATAAGAAAAAAAAATATTTCGAAGACATGTGAAGTTCGCCAACACGCATTGGGGCAGCACGGCGGACACTTCCTTGCCCTAAAACCCTCTCAGAAATGAGGGCAGGCCTGTGCCCAGCAGTGGGACGTATATAGGCTGTAACTTTACTTTACTTTTAAATTATTTGAAATTAAAATAAGTAATTTAAAATTTACCCTGCTACTGTTGTAGTGCTACCCTAATTTAACGCATTTCGACGGACACTTTTTCATACACAGAGATAGAGATAGTCAGTCCTTCTTACCTCTATGCTCCAGACATGCGCCCGCACTGATTTTGTTTACGTGTCTGTTCTAGTACGAAATAGGTATAACTTCAATGATCCAATGATAAGCAAAATATTTTGACTTCTCGACTCATTTAACTAATAGTGTACCTTACACACAAGATTGGATAAAAGATTAACTGCAGATTCAGAACCCCTAAATCACTATTGCTATATTTACCTTTATCAGGTATTTCAAATTGTTTCACTCTCTCCTGCAAATTCTTGCATTTGCTCTGCAAATCGACGTTTCTCTCCCTTTCTTCTTTAATCACTCTTTTACACTCTTCAGCATACTTGACTAGAGTTGCATGTTCGCACTTAAGACGGTCATTTTCACTGGCGAAAAGTTTATTATATTCTAAGACAGCTTTTAGCTTTTCTTTTAATTTTGCTATGTGAGCATCTTTTTCAGATATCTATAAACAATATTTTTTATTATCAATATGCAGCAAATCTTGAGATGTAACAGGCCACATGCATGCCACACTATGACCATTTTAAAAAACTTACGTTTAACTTTCGACCAACATTTATACTAGTGCAGTCACTGGGATGATGATTAAAGAAAACAGGAAAGTGTTTAAGCAAAATCTACATCACATCTACATACGCCTTCCCCATAGCAATCTAACTAAGAGTCTAGTTGAGGCAATCGTGTGGTGCGGTGCAGGGCAACACACGGACAGAGCCCTCCCGAGCGGCCGTCAGTCGCTAGGGTTATCCTATCATGCAAATAAATTTAAATGGTTCACACAACTGGTAAAAAACTGTTGGTCGTCCTCAATTTAAAAATAAGGAATTGAAGTTTAATCAGTTTCAGTCAGTAAATTAAAAAATGTTCCGTTCAATAAGTATTATTTATAGTTTATATTGAATAGAAGGAAGGAAGTCTATGGAAGGTGGCTAAGGAACATGCTCTATGGTGTTCCTTGGAGGAGGCCTATGTTCAACAAAGGATCTTTGAAGAAATGTCATAAAATCATAGTGTTAATTATTATTAATAATCATTATTTTCTTTCCATCCTATCCTTTACATATAAACTACATACAAAAAAGTATATTTCATAGAGCGGTAAGTTACTTACTGCAACAACATTCTCTTCACATCTATCCATTAGGGCAGTTATAAGACCTTCATACTTTTTGCTAAGTTTCTTCTTTTGCTCCTTGAGTAACGCTTTCCCTTCTTTGCCAGCATATGAGTTAGCATGCATTTTCTTCTTTCGAGGAGGCTTTGCTGATCGATTCACTATTAATGTAAAAAATTAACTAAGTGCATACTAAACACAAATATGTAATACACTGTCTATTACAAGTAGAGATGTGGTTTTAATAATTTTCCTTTAATCTAGACCCTATTAATCTACATCCCTGATTTTACTAAAATTTTTCTCACCAATACTTTTGGAAATACAATGGGTTACAATAACATACATATATAAACATTTATCCTGAAACATGACAAATAAAATTACACAAAATGTAATGAATTATACATTTATTAAACATTGCTTTAAAGACCTTTTTATAACCCAAGCAATTTAAAGAGATACAATTTTCAACTAAACATTCCAACCTGCAACACTATATATAATAATAATAATGCTTTTCACTAATACATTTTAACAAATAAATTTAAAGTCCCTGACTTCTAATGTAGGTGAGACCTGTATCTCTGTATCTGTGTAAACTAACCACTTAAATTAAAAATCCATTATTAAAGTTAACATCTATATTCAATGAACTTAGCATTAAATATGCTATAATTAAGCCAAACTTCAATTGCCTCTGCATGCTGTTAGTCAATTTTGAGCCATACAATGTTTTTAATACAAAATCTTGTAGTTTCCTTATTAATGTCTCAAAGGGAATATAGTCAAAGGCTTCAAATATTCAAACCCCAATCATCCTCTAAATTTTCCCATGTGCAAATATGTAAAATGCTAGTGAGGAGATTATATTTAAATAGGCAACATTATAAATTACAGTTCTTTGATCTGGGTATGAATTGTACACAAAGTAATAGGTAATAATACTTTACCTAATAAATCTTTCGGGTCCTCATATAAAGGGTTATCGTCTGGAAAATTCTCCACAGCCTTTTGTTGAGACATTTTCGACTCAGTTTTCTTCATCACAGTGTTCAAAATATCTAAGCGCAAACTATTACGTTGTTCTGCTTTAGATATATAAAATTGCTGATGCCATGGTGTAAAGTTACCAGTAAATGTTAACTTCTCTGGGCTTTTCTTAAATGGACACTTTTTGGGGCCTTTATTGTATTGAGACGCCTAGAATTTAAAAATAACAATTAGAGCATTGTTAGTAGTTAATAGTTTTATATGTGGTAGAGCCATGCTGCAGTTATATTAGAAGTATAGTTGTAGCACGAATGGATCAGCTCAACTGGGGAAGGACCACACTCTTAAAGAATACCAGTGTAAAATAGTAGCTTAATGCTGCTGTGTCTCATGTGGTGAGTGTAGGGCACCGGAGACCTTTTTTACTGGAAACAAGGCATTCCATCTTAGTCCTCATGGGGGACAACACATCTGCATTTTTATTCATAATCGAGGATAGATGTAGATGTCTATGGGCCACAGCAACCACTTACCATCAGGTGGAGTGTGTGCTGTGGCCCTTTTTTGTTTGCCTTGTGGCCCATTTCTTATATAAAAATCACCTGAGGTAGCTGGGGCAGCGCAAGCCTGAAAGGATGCTTGAGCTCAGAAATAGGGTGTATAATACGGCTATAACTTAACTTTACTTTTTATATTTACAAATAATTATTAATGACTCTAAACTTAAAACGCTTGTCAGGAGCGGCTCATCACAGTATGTGAATGGTGGTTTCAAGCCAAGAATTTTTTGTAAGTTTGCTGTCTGTACCCTTAATCTACTATTATTTATTATTATTTATTAGCTATCATCACTTTCAAACAATCAACAAAATCTTAAGAATTATGATTCAAACATCTTAATGTTTCTTCACCAGTCTTAGATTGGGGATGATTTGTCTAATATTATCACTTGGCAAGCAGATTGACAATAATATTATCAAATGTTACAAACCATAGCACTGTTCGATACCACCAATTTCAAAATTTGAATTATGTAATAGAGAATACATGCAATGTTAAAGCACCCATGTATGCTCTCTCTAATTATAATTATTTACTATATAATAAGAAGAAAGTCTGAACATTAAAAATAATTTGAAATTTATGATTGGTTTGAGATAATAATTAATTAAAAACATAGGTACATACTTTTGGGGAAAACTGTACATATTCATCATCCATTGTCAACTTTCTGTCAGTTTCTTTACTACCATATCAGACATTTTTGCCATTTCGCAACAAATTTATAAAATAGTTCAGTAAAGGATTTTTATACTACTGCATTACCAGTATCCAAATAATGATGCATGCCTCAGTTTAAAATTTAAGTAAAACTGGCAGTTTTAGGTCACAAAACCATGGATATGCTTAGTAGGTCAACCTGCCGTTCAATAAATGTAAATAAGTATTTAATATTGACAAAGCTGCAAAACAGTCCATTGTATTTGCCAAACGTTTATTAATATTTTGGTCATTGGCAATGGTAATCCTTATTTAAATAGTTTAATGAAATTATTTGTAACGTACAATGTTCTCTACTATTTATTACAATTAGTTTTGTAGTTTGATTTTAAACCAAATTAATACATAGAAAGAACTTCATTGCACACAAAAGCACAATACGAATTACATTTATTTGACAATTAACATGTGCATGTTGTCGTTGTTTTGTTTTGTTACTATGGAAACTAATGACTAGAGTGAGACAGTCGTAGACAGTAGGATTCTCTGTCTATTGACGTTGGCATAGAGTATATTTTTATAAGAGAACTTGGTAAAGATGTCGCTAAAACCATGAAGTTATTAACTTCATGGCAGGCCTCTTATTAGTTTGTGCCTCTATCACTCTTGCTACCTACGTAAAATAATTACCTAAAATCGCGACGCGCCCGGGCAAAATAACACAGTCAGGGCTAGCGCGTTGGAGGCGATTGAATGTTAAAGTTTTTTAACGCCGTTTACGTATATAACTTTCTGTAGATATTGTTGAAATAGTTTTTGTTTAGTGTTTAGTATATTTTATTATAGGGTAAAATAGTTCAAAAGTTTTAATGTAATTTAAGAACTATATATTATGTATATTACCCTTTATTTAATAAATTTTAATATGGCAAAACGTCGTTCCTACTATAATTGTTGCGTGGATAGACGCTAAATGACCAACAAAATATTTCAGATATATCATTCTTTATTACCGAAGGATTCATTAAGAAGTTATGAAACGTGAATTTATTTAATTTTTATTGTTAGATAGGTATTTATAGCAAAAAAGAATTAAGTAAATAAGTAATTTATTTAATATCTACGAAATTTATTACAAAATTTAGTGGAAATTTACTTCACCATCCAAGTATCTACTTACTTACATATACTTGCCTTTTGTATTAAAATATTTTAAGCTGTTATTTTAGCTTAAAATATTTTAAGTTAAAATAACACAAAACACTGAAATCAAAACTTTGTTTACCAACAAAATTTTTAACTAAGTAGACGTTACATTTCTGTTAGGAATCGTATTTCAAATTTATTTGTTGTTTACACTTTCTACCTTTTCCTTGCGAGCCAAGCGTTGCGATTCCCGACGAATGACCTTGCAAGTTGCATACGTCAGGCATCGCAGAACTCACGTATGTGCGAAAATATGGTCTGTCGATCATAGTCACCACCGTAACGTAGGAAGAGGAAAATGTGCAAAGTAATACGGACACTCTCGCGCAGCGATAAAGTTTTATTTAGCTTGCGAGCGCGATTTATCTAATTAATAATAATTATGTAGGCTATTAAACGTCAGCAAACAGAACGTTAAAAGATTGAAACTTCTGTACGTAGTACTATTATTTATTCTGTGTTCATGGCTAAATCCTGGTATTTCAAATAAAAAGTTGATACATTCATACATTAAGTAGTAATATAGATTACAAACTAATAAGGAATACTAGCTCAGTATAGATATTATAGTATGTGTTTACTATGGATATGATTAATGTACTACCGCCTAGTATAGTACAGACGATTCAGACTATACATATATCAAAGCTTACTATCACACCTCTTTATAAATAATAACAAGATATGAAAATAGGTTATATTATATTATATATAGACATGGCCAGCTCGCAATATCATCGGTAAGATGAATATAAATTGCATAACTAAAGGGCTTACAAGCTTTCAACTTACCATTAGTGTAAAACAGGGATTCCCAAAATATTTTACTCAAAAGACCCCTTCTCCAAACGAACTGATACCTCAGACATATAGCCAAATTACTATAAGAGCGTATATTCAAATATGCACAAGTCAAAATCACTCTGGAACGGCGTAATATTGACGCACTGTACAATGTTCTCTCTCTGTGCGTGACTGCACGAGGTGGAGCGAGTGAAAGGCTACTAGTGGTATCTAGCACGAATTATCTTGATACTATTGGAACTAAAGAAATAAAATAATTTCAACTTAATAGCTTATGAGGTTGGTGCTAAGAAATAGTGTAGGGGAGGCGGGGTAGTTTTATGCAAGGGGGGGGATTGATTCACCTAACATATATCCTAATGGATTAGATGTAATCGAGTCGTGACAACACTATAACTTATCTATTCTTACCTTATCACGGCACTTGAAACCGCGCCGCCATCCAGTTAACCGATGGTGTTAGACGACATCGTTTGTGTTTTGTGTTCGCCATTACTATAACAATGCACAATATGCACAAGTCAAAATCACTCTGGAACGGAGTAATATTGACGCACTATACAATGTTCTCTCTCTGTGCGTGACTGCACGAGGTGGAGCGAGTGAAAGGCTACTAGTGGTATCTAGCACGAATTATCTTGATACTATTGGAACTAAAGAAATAAAATAATTTCCACTTAATAGCTTATGAGGTTGGTGCTAAGAAATAGTGTCGGGGAGGCGGGGTAGTTTTAGAAGGGAGGGATTGATTCACCTAACATATATCCTAATGGATTAGATGTAATCGAGTCGTGACAACACTATAATTTGTCTATTCTTACCTTATCGCGGCACTTGAAACCGTGCCGCCATCCAGTTAACCGATGGTGTTAGACGACATCGTTTGTGTTTTGTGTTCGCCATACTAAAAAAACGAGTGGAATGAAAAACAGTTTCACTCAATTTCTACAACTCCTTCGAAATATTTATGCATACTGAAGGTGAGCTATTCTATCCATAAATACCAGTTTAATGCTTTTTAATAAATAAATAAACATAAATAAACATGATGTTAACGCTTTACAAAAACTTCTGTTGGGGCATAATGATATGATAAGCTCTGGGGCACTTTGATGTGTATCATTCTGCCCCGATGTAAAATTTTGTAACTAATTATTATTAATTTACCGATTCCTTTTTTTTTAGAAAAAGGTGTGGTCCTGTAAACCAAGGACTGTACGATGCAATATAAACGAAGAAAATATAATTGCTGCTATATCCGACGTTTCATCGACGAAATTATTTACACGTGTAGTAGCTCATAAGTATAACATCAAAGCTGCAACATTGCAACATCGTATCAAGAAATTTCATTAATCTTTTAAAGATAATCAAGCATCACCGTCTAAATCATACAGTTCTAAATACACTGTTGGTCAAGTATTTTCAAAACAAGAAGAGAAGATGCTTACAAAATATTTGTTTAACTGTAGCTGTAGCTGTAGCTGTAGCTGTATATACTACGGATGGAGGAACATTACAGCAACTTTTGGTTTTGGCCTATAAATTTACTGAATACTCAGGTATTAAATATCTAGAATCATAAAAGAAAAATAAAAGTGCTGGGAAAGACTGGTCAAGAGGGTTTAGAATGAGGAACCAGGAGCTTAGTTTCAGAAACCCAGAAAACACAAGCGCAGCACGAAGTTTCTTATTTAATAGAACAGCAGTGAATGATTTCTGTGATAATTGTGAGCGTTTAATGTATAAATTATATATTTGCTCCAGACCGTATCATCAACAATGACGAAACTGGAGTCAGTACTGTTTTATCTACACCTAAAGTTTTAGCTGAAAAGACACAAAGGCAATTAGGACAAATGGTGTCTGCCGAAAGGGGAGAGCTAGTTACATTTGCATACATTTTGCGGGATAGTAACTGCAATAGGTGTTGCCCTTCTTCCTGTCTTTGTCTTTCCCCGTTCTTATAGGTGTTTTTTTTTGTTTAAATTGATTTATATTAAAAGAAAACTAAGTATTTTGTGTTTAATTATGGAAAGTTTCTATGAAGAAGATATATAGTTAAGATGACGTGTTTAGCTAAGAAATGTGATTGATTAATATAACTGTAAGGCAGATTGTGATCTCTGAACAATAAAAGTATTATATGCATACTAGTCTTTCAAATTAATACTAGTTCCATACAACTTTTAGTTAGTATCAAAGTACCCCGAGTAGTGTATCTAAGTGCCCCGTAGGTAGGGCACAATGATATAAATACCTTTTTTACTAAAAGCTTTGTATTTTTTTATACATTAATTAGACAGTTTCTTTTGAATACTTTTATAATATTTATAGATTTATCAATGCAGAAAACATAAAAAATATACACTTTAACGTTATTTCAAAACTTAAAAGTGACTTTGAAATTTTTGGCATCAATCTGACCTTGAAACTAATATTCGATCTAGCCTCGACATCGGAAGCTTATATGTATAAATTATTTCATTATTTTAGTAAATTGAAGTCGGATTTTCTTTTTTACTCTATTGAGTGGACTAAGGAATGTCACAACGTCGAGGTAACAACTAGAAAGGGGTAAGTAATATAAATTCGAATGGATAAATATGTATTATATAAAATAGATATCGTTTGATATACATTTTTTCTGTTTCATAATGTAAAGCTGATTCATCTAAATAAAAATTTAATTGGTGTCGGTGGGGCTCGAACCCGGGTTGCATGCGTATACGGCGAGCACTTCGCCTTTGGGCTACCATGTTTGTTCCGTTCGGGAAACGAACCCGTGGCCCTTATGCCTATATCACACCTCCGCTGCGAAACAACAACTGCGAAAGCGCTGCGTGAGTTTCGCTGTGCAACAGTACTTCACTTACGCGAAACTATATTAGCGAAACCTAAAACAGTTGAGAAATAACAATCGAAAGAAAATGTCGTCGCTTTCGGAGTCAGAGGAGGAACTAATTTTACTGTGGTCAACTACTTTAAAAAGGCGTCATACCTGGGTGCATGATATCAATAAAAAAGGAAAGAAGTTGGGAGAAAATATATTATGTAAAGAGTTACAGTCACATGAAGACCGTTTTTATTCTTACTTCAGAATGACACCAGACAGTTTTAAAGAGTTACATAACCTTATAAAGCCTTGCATTACTAAACAAGATACAAGGTTTAGAGATGCTATTTCTAGCAAAGAAAGACTGGGATTAACTTTGAGGTAAGTACCTATATTAAAATTAAAGTTACAAAATTAAAATTTAAAAACAATTATAATGATGAAAATTGAGAAAAATATGTAGATGTACTCAAATCAGTAGGTTCGGCGGTATTACTGTCATTACTTATCAAGAAGTAGTTTCCCGGAGTAACAAGAGCATGTATGTTTGTTGTATTACTGTCGTAAGAATCTTGATGTGCTGCCTCACAGTCATTTTTGAGCATGCATGCTTGAGTATGTCGTTGTATGTGAAGATGGTTGCTTCCCCAGTGGGTCCCCGGAGTAGTAGGAGCATGAATGGTCCTATTAATAGTTTGAAGTACGTGAAGATGTGTTTCTTTCAGCAGTCTCAAGATCATTAAGCTCAGCTTCCATCAATATTTTTGCGATATCGAATTTAACGTTTACTTGAGTCCGTTTGCTTAGTTTTTTAAAAGAGTCTGCATAACCCAAAAACAACAAATCAATACTGTCACATTTAACCGTAAATTTCTCATAATTAGAGTTTTGTTTCCTTCTATTTTCTAAGTACTCAACCATTCTGTCTGTAGGATTCATATTTATTCTTTGCTGTCGCCTGTATATTTGATGTGATGAGCCGGATTGTTGTGTATTTTCTGGTACGGTTGTCGCGTCGTAAGAAGTGGAGGGTGTAGATTGATTGGCTGACTCTTCATTTGCCACCGAAGAATTTGTACTGCTTGTTTCTTCGTGTTGAGAAGATTCATTATCCAGAATAATGCTGCTCTCCGTTTGATTGGGGGTAGTAGATGATTCAAGAAATGACATTTGCTCAGCCCTCAGGCCCAATTCTGTAGTTTTTTTGTTGCTTCGCCACTAGAGCTGTGTTTTGATTGCTTGAATTTTCTGAAAGTATCTTTTAAATTTTTCCATTTAGCTTTTAAAGCTGGAACTGAAACAAAGAAGATAATTAATTGATTCAGGCGTTACTTTGTGTTATTTTGCGGCATTACTTTGTATGCTTCCGCCACCACTGGTGGAGGAAGCATACAAACCACTGGTGATTATTTGCCACCTATGTGGTATAAAAAATAGATATGTTCAGCAACAGTTTTCTCCAACTTAATTTTTTTGTTACAGGTTTCTGGCAACTGGAGACACCTACAAGACACTATCTTTTTCTTATCGTATGGGTAATTCAACAGTTTCGAAAATAGTGACTGAAGTTTGTGAAGAATTGAGGAATACGTTACGACCACTTATCCTTCCAATACCCACAGAGGAAAATTGGCTGAATATGGCAGAAGAGTTTTTTCAAAAATGGGGATTTCCTCATTGCCTTGGTGGCATAGATGGAAAACACATAACCATAAAGTGCCCTCCGTGTAGCGGGTTAATGTTTCATTGTTATAAAAGTAAATATTCAATTGTTTTAATGGCTGTGGTAGATGCCAATTATAAATTTATTTTTGTAGATGTTGGATCATATGGGAAAGATGTCGATAGTACTACATTTGAAGCAACATCTTTTGCTCGATTATTAAGGAGCGGCCAACTTAATATACCAAATCCACAACCATTACAAGGAGAAACAGATTCTTTGCCTTATATTTTTTTAGGCGATGGTGGATTTAAACTTGAAACTTTTTGATGAGACCTTTTGTAAGAGATGCAGCTTTGCAAGATAGAAATAATCAGATATTTAATCAGTCGCTTAGTACAGCACGGGTAGTTGTGGAAAATGCATTTGGAATAATGGCACAAAAATTTAGGATATTCTTAAGCCCCTTTGAAACAGTTTTGAGAAATACCATAAAAATTGTGAAAGCAGCTTGTTGTTTACACAATTTTATACAGACAAAAGAGTCAACCGAACGTGTAATCTCTGGTTTGGAAACAGAACAGCTTGGAGCCTTTCTTCCACAAAACAGACTCAATGGAAACCGCGCACGATCATCATTTGCGGCATGTGACATCAGAGACAAATTTGTTCGATACTTTGCACAACGCAGAACAGATAATTGATACGTATACCTTGTAAATAATAAATAATTATACTTACCTTCTTCGTTTAACTCTCTCTGGATATCCCTCCATGCTTTCAGTTTTTTTGTGTTGTTTTTGTAGTCAGGGTGATTTAGTAAGTACAAAACAGGTCTATTTCTAACTGCTTGTATAAGTTTTTCAGTAAATTCCAAATCCATTGTTCCTATTTCGATCATAAAAATTGTCGATTGCTACAGACGCGTCGTAGTTACACGCGGAACCGCTCCAAAATGGCGGACAACGGGTGGAGATGTAGACGGTGCCTGAGCAAATGAGCGAAATTATGTTAGAAAGAGACAACATCATAGTCAGTTTTGTACGTTAGAGCAGGGAATTTCGTTATTGTTTCGCCGCCAAAGAACTCACAACTCACAGCGAAACTATTGCGGTTTCGCCCTTTGAGTTTCGCAGCGGAGGTGTGCTACAGGCGATAGAGTTAATATAAAAGAACATGTTCATGCATAATCAAAGGGTTTTAATACTGTTACGAGCAAAAGGTTCGTGACAATAAAAACTGCCGATTGAATTACCAAAATTGACACTTTAATTACCGCACACTAATTAAAACTTAAAACACACTAATAATTAATCACACTGATTACTTTAGTTCACTTTATTTCGCTCCGAAGCTTCGCTTGTATTGCCAATTCAATACTGCCCCGGTCGCGGCCCTGAATGGCTTTAAATAGGCCTTTTCCACCGAAACATACAGAATATTCCAGCAAATACCGGCACTGGCCGACCAGGTGTAGAAAGTTCGAGTGTGGAGCTTTCTAGAAAGCCTAGTTCTTCCATTCGATACTAAATGGCGCTAGTGGTAGAGTTCTAGAAAGGTCTTGACGCTCCTATTTCTGCTGCTTGATGCCAGATGGCGCTAATAATCAGCCGCCACATACCAGGCACTAATTATAGCGCGCATCAATACCTCAGTACCTCATACCTTAATAAACTAGATAAAATTCTTGCATCGGACGTATAATGTTACTTTATTTATTGAAAACAACAGTATCTACAACCGATTGAAGAAATTGACTAGCGGAATAACTTTTTCACAAGACTTTTACATTTAACTAAATGTAAAGCATCAACATGTAAGTTAGGTTCTGTACTGATTACTAGTAATAGAACCAACTAATAAATGATCGTCGAATTGACGACATTGATGCATAGCGCAACCTGACGATTGGCACCAGGCAGTGAGAAAAAAAACGAATTGATATCTGTATCTTGCCATGCCTACACATTACCCGCAAAACTTAAAACTTTAATGTTGCCGATTTAGTTCAAGCTTGGTGGAAAAATATGAAATTAAAGTAAAAGTATTTTAAGATTTTGAAGGTTACAGATATGTTCAATATTGCTGTCAAAATGATCGATGAAAATACCAACAAGAAGGTTAGTAAAAATTCGAACCCGATTTTCAGACTCCTGAAACTCGGGACGTTTTTAGACCTCGTCAACTCCTAAAATCAGTTTTCGTTTATGTCGATCCCTGGGAAACCGATGTTGGCACTAATAGGCTATATCAAAAATCTTTAGTTTTGTTAGGAAAAGTATCAGTCATCAGTTTTTTTTGTTTAAACGCAGAAAGATGACTGTCCGAGTTCCCACGTGGTCAAAACATCTTCAAACAACAAAACAAAATAGTCAGATATTCTTTTATTCTCTTTAAGTTATTTTTAATTATTGCTAATCTTCTTTTTACTTGCTCGTAAAGATTAACTACTGGACATGGGTTTGTATCGTTGTAAGGAGAATTGCTTTAATCATTACGCTTGGCAGGTTGATTGACGATTTTAGCAATGTGATCAATCTGTCACATATCAAGTCATAAATTGTGTATGAGCTTATTATCTTCTTTTTAGAGCGTTGAAATAAAAGCTTGTTTTTAAGAATGTTTTTTTACTATTATTTTGATTGTTATTTAATTAGTTACTGTTAAAATAAAGTTTAAATTAATTTTTGTCATGTTACTATATATTTACCACAAATAAGAAATCTTAATACCAACTACAAGTTTAAAAATAAATTCAAAACATATCTTCTAGATAAACAAAAACAAGGTATTCCCAAACACTTCGTTTGCCAGCTATAAACCATGGCATGGTATTTTCTATTTTTTTTCTTTTACTTAGCCAACCATGAGTTAGCTCATGGTTGGCTAAGTCATTTAGGTACAAGGCTTAATTGGGTACGAAGTCTTACACATCTTTTCTGTAATTTTTTACTAAATTAAACCCAAGATATAAATCACAGAGCTGAAAGGACACATCTTTCAGACATAATTACACTACAATAATATTAATGTGCAAAAAGAAACAGTTTATTCCTTATTTCTTTCTGATTGTACTATTGTGCTCATTTTCTTCTCGCCACCTCGAGGCGAGGGTAATAGCTGAAAATCAGTGTTTGCTCTCTGAGCAATATTAATCGCTGAGCTATGACCCATTTGTTTAACTGCAACACACATGTATATTTAGATCATAAGTTTATGTATTTTTTTCCATAATACTTTGATTGTATATCTAGTTAATCACTGAATTTACATGTGTGATTGGAAATACAAATAAACGTTTTATCTATCTATCTATCTCTATCTATCTATATTTTGTAAAAGTAACATATATTCTGTCATATCTATTTTATCAGTTTCAGTTAACTCTTATTTTCCCAACGAAATCGATGGATGCAGGTGGCTCAGGTCTGTGCTTTGTAGCATTCCTTGGAGGAGACCTATGTTCAGCAGTGGATTTTTATAGGGCTGTAATGATGATGATGATTATTAATCGATTTTTTTTTCAAGAAATATCGCCACTGATTTTAAATAAATGTAAGTACGATCTTAATCGACATATTTTTCTCATTTGCCTATTCCTAATAAATTAATTCTATGTGAAAATAAAACCAAGTTAATTTACCAACATCTTAGAGTAATATACGTATGTATGTAATTATAGTTAACCAAATTTAAGAAATACATTTTGACAGCTGTCAGACTTATTGCACCAAGCATGCCAACCAAATAATGGGAGCGTACAATATTCGATTCTTAAAAAATCGATATTGATTATTTAGAGTTGGTAATCATTTACAGTTTGGTTTAAATAATACCAGAATAAATAAGAAACGGATAATTTAAAACACAAGATTTATCAATTTCTTCATATTTTTTGTTACTGCTTATTACTAGAGGCAAAGTTATAAAAGTGTAACATTGAAATTAGATTAAAAATAAATTTATTCAATCACTTTCAGTACAACTAGTTGAACTGTCGTTGTTTAGAATAATTCTTATTTGATTTTAAATAATACAGTCAAAATTAATGTCTCTTTCAGAGTCATCCATAATAATATTTTTTTGTTTTTTCTACCAATTTTGCCCAATCATCCCTTGTGACATGGGCATATATGCTCAAACGAATACAGAAGAAACAGTCCAAAAAGTTAAAGCCGAGTCACAAAATAAGAAGACAGAAACAGAAACTTTTTTATTCAATGTATATTATAACAATATTTATTAAGTCACTTTTTTCATTTACCATTGGTTCGCAAAAAAAACCTCTGTCTTGGGAAGAACCAGCAAGAAACCTAGCGGGACTATTTTTTTTCCAATAATAGCTTACAATCATGTTTACAATTAGCAACACAAAACAAATTAGAAATAGCTTGGTAGCGATCACCCTTCCCAGGGGTTATTATCATCCATAAATTCCTTAATATTATAATAACCCTTTTTATACAAACTTAATTTAATAACATTTTTGAACTTTGTGTATGACAAA